ACATCGCAGGTGGGTCTCATATGGGGCTGGGCCTTTGTACTACAGCCTTGCATGGGGTTGTGCCTTGTACTACAGCCTTGTACAGGACAGCCACATCACACCACAGCCCTGCACGAGGGCAGCTCTGTCACACCACAGCCCTGCACACGGACAGTCATGCTACACCACAGCTACGAGGGTAGCCATGTCACACTATGGCCTTGCACCAAGACAGCTATGTCACGCCCATGTCCCACCCAGGCCCCCCCCTACCCCTCTGGGTCCCCACCAGGGCCTGGCTAAAAGCAGCCGCCGTGCCCCTGTGCTTAGCTTTCACCTCTGGCCCCTGGGCTGCTTGCTCCTCGTGGCTTCCCCAGCCGCCTCGGGATGGGCAGGGGTGTTATGACCATCCCCGAGGGGACAGGGGCATCCTGGGTTACTCTCTGACCCCACCATCTCTCCACAGCCATCCTGGGCATGTACACGCTGATGAGCAACAAGCAGTACTATGATGCGATCTGCAGTGGGACCATCTCCAACACAGAGGGGATCAACAGTGAGTGACACAGGAAGAGGGGACATGAACAAACCCCTCAGGACAAGGAAAATGGGTTCCACAGGACTGTTTGGGGGGGATTTGGTGACCACAACCCCTCTGGGAATCCCTGTGGTGACTTCACACAAAGGTGTCCTTGCGTATCCGCGTCTCCGTGTGTGGCCACATGCGTCCTCACGCACATGCATGTGCGTGTGTCTCAGGTGTGGTGAAGCCTGACATGTACAAGCCAGTGCCAGATGAGCCTCCGAATCCCACCAACGTGGAGGAGACACTGCGGCAGATTCAGGCCAACGATGGGGCTCTGGAAGAGGTCAACCTCAACAACATCAAGGTGAAGGACCTGGTGGCACAGTTCCCATGGTGCTGCATCCTGCCCTGGGGTGTCCCCCAGCGGCTAGTCCCGGTTCTGGGGTGTCCCCACGGGACTGGTCCCTGTCCCAGGGTGTTCCTGGATGCTGCCAGGGTGATGGGTCCCACCCCAGGGTGGGACACTGTGTTCCAAGGTGTCCCAGGTGCTCCTGTGAGGCTGGTCCCTATCTTGGTGTGTCCATGGGGTGTTTGTCCCCATTCTGAAGTGGCTCTAAGGCACTTCATGGCACTGCTCCTCATCCAGGAGCATCCACGACTCTTTGGCGACATTCCACATTCCCTCGGTACCACTTTCATCCCCTTGGGTGACACCCAGCATCTTCCTGGGGATGTCTTTGTATCCCCAGAGCCATCTACAGTCCCCTCAATGCTACTTACACCCCTTCAGTGACATCCTGCCTGCCTGGGGATGTTCCCACCCTCTTGGTGACAGCCATGTGCCCTGGTCACAGGACATTCCCATCACCACGCTGAAGGCCATCTGCGATGCCATGAAAACCAATACCCACGTCAAGAAGCTCAGCCTGGTTGCCACTCGTAGCAATGACCCCATAGCCAATGTGAGTCTCAGCCCTATATCCCCTGTGTCCCCAAACATCCCTAGACAGGATGGGGACAGTCCCCTGTCCTGTGCTCCATTCTGAGCATCAGCAAAACCAGGTGTTAGCGGCTTTTCCACCACCTCCCGCGGCATCGGTGGCCTGGGTCATGGCAGAGGGGCTGCCATACTGAGGTGCCACCCTGAGGTGACACTAAGGTGACAAACAGGCAGTGGCCGAGATGCTGATGGAGAACAAGACCCTGCAGAGCCTCAACATAGAATCCAACTTCATCACCAGCACGGGGATGATGAGCATCATCAAGGCCATGTACCACAACACCACCCTCAGTGAGCTTAAGGTGGACAACCAGGTAAGGACAGGCACCCTGGGGTGGCCCAGGAGGGGACAGGGGTGTCCCTAACGTGCCACTCTTGCAGTGCCAGCGGCTGGGTGACACAGTGGAGATGGAGATGGCCACCATGCTGGAGCAATGTCCCTCCGTGGTGCGTTTTGGGTACCATTTCACACAGCAGGGTCCCCGTGCCCGCGCCGCCAGCGCCATCACCCACAATAACGAGCTCCGTGAGTGTTACCCGGCGCAGGAACTGGGGGATCCTGGCTCTGACCACCCTCTCCCCCCCCGACCCCATTCCTCTGCCCCATGCCTTCCTCTGCCCCCAGGCCGCAAGCAGAAGAAGACCTAAGAGTACCACCACCCCAGCACGAGCGAGCCCGGGGAATGCTGGAAATAAAGATGGACAGATGCGGATTTGGGATTGCTTTGGGGCAGGATTTATTCCCTGGGGTTCTAGGGGTGGGCTGAGGCAGGGAATTGCTGGCAGCATGGCAGCAGGGATGCCTCCTGCTCCCCTTAATCCATAGGGACTACTCAGCAAGATTGAAGTGTTTATACCTCGAGGATTGGGTGGGTGGGATACAGGAGGGGTGGGGGGAGCAGGACAACCCCCCAGTGGGTATTTGGGTGCCCTATGGCATGGTGAAGGGCACCCACAGCTCAGTGACATGGAGCGAGGGACACAGGGAGGATTTTTAGGTCCCATCAGGCATGAGGTGGGTAAATCTCAGTGGCCATGGGTAACATATGCCCAGGAAGTGCCTCCCGGTGATCCTTCCAGGAATGGGATCCAGCCCTGGGGTACAGAGAGACCCTTGGGTGGGGTGCAGATGCTGTCCTGGGGATGGGGGTGCCAGCTTGGAATCCCATGGGTATGCCCCGACAGAGGAGCACGCAAATTCTGGCAGGAAAAGAAAGTGGGTAAACTGGGAGTCTTTGAGTGTTTTGCAGAGCACTGAGGCAGGTGCTGGAGCTGGGAAGGAGGGAGAGGACACAGTGCCACCACCCCAGAAGGCCGTGACCTGTAGGCAGCTGCCAGCATGCAAAAAACAGAGCGTGCCATGGGCCACAGACAGGGCAGGGATAGGCCATGGACAGGAGGGGACAAGAGGCAGCAGGGCAGAGATAGGAGGGGACAGGGCAGGGACAGGCCACAACCCACAGCGAGGTCATAGGAACACGCCAAAGCATCGCCAGGTGGACTGGGAAAATGCTGAGATCCTCAGAATTCCCCCTTGGCAGGACCTTTCCCAATGGCTCAGACACCTCTGCCCTCTCCAGCAGCCTCTATTCCTGGAGGTTTGGGGACAGCACTGGGACAGGCGGACTCAGGCTGGCAGCCGCACCGGCGGCTCATCCTCGTCAGAGTCGAACTCAGCGTTCTCATCCTTCACCCACTTCCCAGAGGGATCCTGGATCCAGCCGGAACTGGGGATGGATGGGCAGAGTGAGGGGAGGGCTCATTCCCAGGTCCTCCCGCCCAGGCGGCACTCACCTGCGCAGACGCAGGTAGTGCCGCAGGACCTGGAGCCGCTCCAGGCTAGGCCCCTCATGCTGGCTCGGCGCCATCAAGGAGGCTTTTCCTTTCCACACTGGAGCTATGTTCGGAGTATCTGGGAAGGGGAGCAAAGTGGCGGTGAGACCCTTGGGAATAGGAGAGCCCCATGAGAACCCAGGTGTCCTGACCCAAAGGTGGTGGCATAGCCACCTGGCTCTCACCCGCTTGCCCATGGAGGTGCTCTGGCAGCGGTGCCACAGGGCTGGTAGCCATGGCTTCTCCGACGCTCCAGAATGGCTTTGGCAGCATCCCAGTAGCGCTTGGCCCTGTCCGGCTGATGCCAGTCCTGGAGCTGCTCCCCTTCACCCTGCGATGGGAGAAGAGAAGGAGTCAGGGATGTCCCAAAACCACCTGATGGCAGTGAGGCCACAGTGCTGCCAGCCCCTTCCCAGGATTTTCAGAACTTTTCCCTTATCCTCCTCATCCCACCAGATCTCTCTCAGAATCCTAGAGCTTTCCTCCATCCTCTTCACCCTGACAGTCCCCTCCCGGAATTCCAGAGCTTTCTCTCATCCTCCTCACCCTGTCCTCCGGCAGCAGCTGCTGTAGGGAGCGGATTTCAGCAGCGCACTCCGGGCAATCCGCCGTGTCCGTGCCAGGAGTGGGGCCGGAGAGCCCTGGGAAGAGGTAACACAGCTCACAAGGGTCCCACAGGGGTCCCACAGGTGAGACAGGTGAGGCCACACTCACCTGCACACTTGGATCCTCCCCCTGCACCTCCTCCTCCTGCTGCCGCACGGGAGCCACAGCCTGGAGCGAGCGATTCTGGCTGTAGAATCGCTGCAGGCCTGGAAATAGGAAAGCAATGGAGGAAAGGAGGGAAGGGGAAAGGGGCAGAGGGAACACAGGGACACGGAAGGGGAAGACATGGACAGGGAAGGGGAGAGGGAACAGGACATGGGGATAGGGAAGGGGCACGTGTAGAGGGAAGGAGACACAGAGACAAGGAAAGGGCTGTGAGAACAGGGAAGGGGATGTGGGGAGAACGAAGGGGACATGGAAACAGAAAGGTGCTATGGGGACAGAAAAGAGGATGTGGGGACAAGGGAGGGGGACAGTCAAGGGGACAGTCCCCAGGCCTCCACTCACTGGCTGCATGCTTCTTGCCAGCCCTGTGCACTGCCAGGATGTCCAGAGTGTCGAAGATGGGGCGATGAGGACACACGGAGCAGGCAAACCTGTGCACAGTTGAGGGGGGACACTGTCAGAACTCCCCCAGCGCTGTTGGGGCCAGGACGGCTGTGCCAGGGATCCCTCACCTCCCGCTCCGCAGCAGCAGCGCCTCATCCTCAGGAATGCAGTTGGCCAACAGGTCGGCGACACGGCGTTTCTGGGGGGCACGGCAAGGCAGGCAAGGCCTCAATCCCCCTTGTCTCCAGTTTGCCCCAGACTGCATCCCCATCCCTGCCCCTACTTAGCCCAGGGACCTTGGTGCCCTGGGGCTCACCTCTAAGGGAGCTGAGGGGAGCTCAGCTAGGGAAATGGGGTGTTCCCATGGGTCCTTGGCAGGCTGAGGACCCTGCTCTGAGGACCTGGGAATTAGGGTGTCCCAGGACCCTCAGCTCCCTAGGGATGATAACAAGAAGTAGGCCACAAAGACACGAATCAAGTGCAGCAAGATAATAGTCCACAGCAGGACACTGCTCTATCTTACCAGACATATAGAACACTACAAGGGAAGACATAAATCAAGAATTAGAACGCTAATTCTAGGATTGCTTTAACTAATTAACCTAGAAGAGTGCTGAGCTCACCAAGATAGCAAAAACCAAGTATAATGCGCATGTGCTAAGGGATGAGGTGAGCTTGAATTAGAACGCTAATTCTAGGATTGCTTTAACTAATTAACCTAGAAGAGTGCTGAGCTCACCAAGATAGCAAAAACCAAGTATAATGCGCATGTGCTAAGGGATGAGGTGAGCTTGAACCGATGAAGACTACCAGCCTTCCTCCTGAAGACCCCCAGATGACCACCACAGACCGTTGCCAAAATGGGGGTGGTGAGGGAGGAGAATACGATAATGGTTTCTGAGAACTAATTGTAATAATAACCACCCGTTCCTGGAAATAATGAATACGTCTGAGCATTGAATGTATCTAAACTGTGAAGTTTTTCTCCCAGGTTGCACAAGTTTGGTGGAGCGATCC